TTAACATTTTTACTTTGCTTGTAGAACTTTTCCATTGAAAGGCTTTTAACCTTTTTTCATCATTAGACATGAAATGCACTTCAGTCATGAAAATGGAAGCTGAGATTCTCCAGGTGCTGGCAATTGCAGCTTTAAGCTAAATACCAGGAACTGGAAAATAACAGCATATAGAGAACAATCTGAGGCTTCAAGATAATACTTGCTTTACTAGCTTTTGTTGCACAAATAAAAGATCTACTTAGCAGACTTAGTACCAACACCCCCCAATTTTCAGTTTAGCTGCAGGTCTCTGGAATAAAAAGCTAAACAGGTTAAAGTGTTTAAAAAATGCATCACCTCCTCATGCCTTTACCTTGCTTCTGTGAACACATATTGTTGCTCAGGCAGGGTGGAGAGGGCATAAGGTGATAGAGGAGTTAAAAGGCTGTGACCTATAGGCAACATAGTATTGATCACACCACTTCTGAGTGGGACACCCTTACAGAGGTGTCCGTGGATCCAGAAAGTGCAAGGTAGGAGATAATCAGGAAAGTAACCAATGGACACACTATGATGTTGCTTAAGAGATTTCAGGATTTCTACCTAAATTTGGTGAAATGCTGTGCCCATCTCAGCTAAAGCAGCTTGTAGTAGCTTAGCTTCTCTTGTAATAAACAAAAGTTTGAATCATAAACATGCTTGGGTATAAGTCTTGGGGCAGGATGGAAAGTTGCACAGAGCCTTTTTTTGTACATATCTGAAGCACAAGGCAAAGGTGGCCAAGAGTTGTAGCCCAGCAGTACAGATGGGAGGAAGGGGAAGAGATTCTGTCCAGAGCTCTCCCAAGTGAGCACAGAAAGCCTGATGGGAGTGCAATGAAACACTGAAATTCAGTCTGCTGCACAACTGACCTAATTCAGACCCATTTCCATGAAGCCCAGTGTAGCACGCTCAGACTCTCTGAAATCAGACACCTAAATGTGGGTTGATTTCTGCTCCCGCATTCTGTATACTTAGTCCAGCTGCTTGAATTTTTATCTGAATTTAAACACCTCAGAAAGAGGATGCCAACACTGTAGAGTCTTCCTCCCATTGCAAAGCTGCCAGAAGCCTCTTGAAGGATTAACACACAAGCTCAGCTCTGAGGGACGAACTGTGCCTCAGACATAAAAAAGCCAGAGCACACAGAAAACCAGGAAAAAGCTCTCACAACTGTCTACCCTGAAGCACTGATCTAAACTGCTGATGTCTGAAACCTCACTGGGGTCACAGGGCATAAAAAGAGATGTTGGTTGCAGGTGCCTCAGGATAAACTCACTCCCCCTAGAGACAACACGGAGTGTCCAGTCATGCTGCTAATGCTGAGAGGTTTGGCAGAGAGCTTAGAAGAGGTATAAGACTGGAAACCTAGGTTTCCAGGCTCTCCTGCATTATTTATTCTCCTAAGCATTACTGGCCAAACTACAATGCAGGAATTATTTTTCATTCCTTATGTCTCCAGGTGCTAAGCCTAGGAGTAGAGCCATTTGGTAGCACTAAAGTCACAGATCCCCACCAGAGTTTGATGCCTTCACAACAGGAAACAAGCCAGAGCAAAGAACATGCTTTTCCTCTGCTCTGAGCATAAGTTAACCACCCCTTCCCCACATTTATGTGTTTAAAGAAGAAAATGATGCAGTAAGTACAAGTTGCTACTGACTGAATAGCTTCCTGTTTGCACCTTGCACTTTCCACCGAAAATTGCCACTTGAAAAATTAAGAGAAGGGAAAGAGCTTTTCAAAGACTGTGTTTTTTTCACATGTGACAGGATAGCTCTTCCTAAGCCTGTACTTAACCTGAAATTGTGTTTTAGCAAGATAAGCCCAGCAGCTGATTAACAAATGCTGCTTTCATCCTGAATTACTCGGAAGCTCTGCGGAGGTCATATTAGCACCAAATGAGATGGTTTTAATCAGGGGTATAACAGCAAACACAGATTAGTTTAAATTAATGCAAAATTAAGTGGTCATCAGGGATGCTGATTTAAGCCCCTTGGAAGATAATAGAACACAATTTCAAACTGCTTCTTTTTAGTACATACTGAAGAAAGGTGTCCCTGCAGAAAGAAAAGGTGTCCCTAATATATATGATGAGAAAGGTGAGAACTTAGGGCACATCTGATAGTACCTTGCTGAGTTTAAAAGTTTCAAGTAATAGGACTTAATAAAGGCTCATTTTCTATTTCCAGGTCTGGTTCCTGCCCTGTGGACTCTTGTCCAGCCTGAGAAGTTCAGTCTGCTCCCACGCAATGGCCTTCAAAGCTCTCAGATTTCAGCACTGCTATTCTGCTCCTCTGAACACTGGTTCAGCACAGGACAGTTTACTGCAAAAGCCTGGATTAATACAGCTATAATTTCACTTGCACAGCTGCATTTCTAGGGCAACTCCACCAGAGATGGATTTTCACCAGTGTAATAAAGAGCAGAGTTTGGTTTTCTAGAAAGGAAGGGAAGCAGCTTCATTTCTGCACAGGGGGTATAACAGCTGGGGAACCCTTTCCCTTGAGATGGTTTACACCAGGATAAACCTACAAGACAGAGGATACTGGAAACAGGAAAAGTGAAACCAGACTGAAGCCTAAAGGCTTGAGGACTGGGTGTTTACTTCAAAAAGATTCAAGAAGTGCAGCTCAGATTTGCTATACATACCACCCTTGCTGGGGCCAAACACACCCTTAGTGTACACAGCCTGGTAAAAAAGTTAGTTGTCTGGTAACTTTAAACCACACTAAAGTGAGTACGCAATAGGAATGTTCTCCCATTCTGCTTTTGTGAACTTCCAATATTTTTAGCATAAGAATAGTTTTGCACTTACCTGCAAGCAGTTTTGAGGTTTGTAGAGATCCCATTTGAATGAAGCATAGCACCCTCTGAACATAAACAATATTAACGTAAGGTTACAAGAAGTTTCTGAAATTTTTATCAAGCATATTGGAGATTTCTTGGGCAAAATAATGTAAAAATTACTCTAAACTATATATTAAATTCCTGAGACAGGCACTGATATGGGAATTAGGAATAGTATTTCTAAAAAAATTCAGTTGAAAGAAAACAACCATTCACATCTGCAAAATGCTGCTCCAGATCTTTTTCACATCAGTAGTTTAGTCATTGCAACCTAATGGCTGGCACATTGGGGGTATAATTGCTCTTAGTCCAGCTCCAAATGAAATGGTCAGAAAACATTTCACAGTGTTTTTTGGATACAGTCTCAAAGTAAACTTACATAATCATTACAAATAAATGCATTGGAGACTGAATTACTAGTGATCCCTAAACCTGAAAGAACAACAGGACTGTACTTACTCTCTAGAATATCTCTTTTGTGTCCTAAATTAACCCAAATCTGTCTTTTAAATATTGCACCATATCCTGTATTTTCATATAATAAATATTGATTAAAAACTTCCAGGCAAAATTTTAAAAATTCTGGTTTTCGTAGCTGCAGGACACCAATTAATGCAGAAAAGGAATGCAGTTCCCTTGAGAACTGCAAAGATGCAATGCCAGTAATGACAAGGAGAACATGATGCAGATCAGCAGTTAAATCATACTCCAGAAAATTCATATCCTTCACCCATTTCAGTAATTGCTTTTTCTCTGTACCTGTTTAACCTAGTGCAGAGAAATGTCAGTACTTACAAAGGTAGACAGGGAATTAGGCAATGAAAATAACAGCTATAAAACAGATGAGCTGGGCATCAAATGCTCCTGTGCACAGACATGTTCCTTTGTTCCTGTGGGTCCACATAATTTGCCAGTGTAGACACAGCCCTTCTCTCTGTAGAGGCACTAAGGTTACATGTGTTAAAGTGGAAGAGGATTTGAAAATCTATTCCTCCATGGACAAAAACTTCAAGCCTTCACGTAAACATTTTTCTTAACTGTCAAACTTTTAGTATTGGGCTTTTTTGTCATGGTATTCACCTATTCCTTCTTGATACAGTTTACAATTGCCTTTCTGTAGTTCACTTGAGGTGAAAGAAGCTCCCTTCAAGAAAACCTTAAAAGCCTGTGATATCACTTCTCTCACATTAAGGACCTATTCACATAAATAAGGTTTTTTGCTCTTTTTCTGCATGAGCTAAATTCCACTTGAAGTACATTACGCCAGTAGGCTTTTGTATTTAATTTAAGACAAAAATGTTCTGCTTTCTCTTGCATTTAAATCTTGATTTATATCTCCTGTACTTCAATTGATGACTACAGATTGCCAAAAAGCATCATCTTGTTCTTCTCTGATTGTTTTACTGCACAAAACAACCTGGCTGGCCAGTTCACTGTTTTATTCCTCTTTGTAGTTACAGCACATTTCATTTTCCCATCACATGGAAAGCACTGCACAAAACCAGCTGAAACTTCAAAAAAGAAATTATTCCTATGTCAGTAGTCACTTGTGTGCAGTGGACTTCTGTACCCAGATGACAAATACCACTGTAGGTTCTCAGTGATCATTATCAGTCAATTTTAGAACCAGAGTAAAAGTGCACTAGGAGCAAAGGCATCACTAAATACTGAAGTAACATAGGACTGTATGCACTGTTTATTATTTCCATCAAAAAATAATATATCAGCAGCAACATGCAGAGAGTAATTTCTCCAAGTTTACAGCTCAGCTCAAAGATGGAATATAGACAAATTTTTCACTAGTTTCAAGATAACTAAAAACTGCCTCCTTCATGCTGCATTTATGAGAAACTCAGATATAACAACTAGCCTGCTGAGCATGCCATAACTTATTAACCTTATACCACTATGATAAACACAATTTATTTCATATTGACTGAAAAAATGAAATCTGTACTTTATTAGGAGATTCAAAACTGAACATCAAAGAGACAGCAATCGTAAATACACTCTTGTTCTGGTTATTCCAGGCTGCTTTTACAGGAACAAACTTCAATATCAACCACATAAGTGAGAAAAAAACTTTGGGTTTTCTTAGAATCATCATCTCAAGAATTCACAAGTAATTAACTCACGTGAATTTGAATAATTAATGTCAATCCATTTTTCCAAAGTCTTTTATTACCACACATTCTTCATTTTGTAGATTACTTAGTTCTCTGTCATTCCAGCTCCAGGAAGTTACAGTTCTTCCGTTCAGATTCATGAACCTGCCTTCAATCTGTTCATCAGATATCCCCATACAAGCCTGTTTTCAAGGTGTTATGGACTCTTTACATCTGTGTTTTTAGCTTCATTCCTGAGACAGGCAAGTGCACTTACAGCTTTTGTACAAAGAGATATCCAGTTGAGACAAGTATGATTTTTAGCAATATTCTTGATGTTCTTTAAAATCAAAGCTGGAAACAAAAGTGAATACAAGTAATTGTATTATACCAAAAATTGATCATGCTCTAGTTATTTATCTGTTTCACAACTATATTTCAGAAGTAGCTGATACCAGCTATAAACAGATGCAATTGAAGTAGTAGTCAGAATCCAATAGAAGTCTAACAAAATAGACAGCTGGGAATATCAGTGCAATGTTTAAAGCATAAGCACATGGAGAACAGTGGTTGATTCCTGCAGGCCATGTAACATGCCCCGCCCTGTAAGCTGGCAAAGTAATCCTTAAAGTTTCTCAGGTCAGTTCAGGAAGGATGTATTCAGTGAGATGTAATTTAACTAATGACCATCACCCATGAGCAATCTGAGATAAAATTTGTTTCAACCTCATCTTTTTCATCCCTTCTCCAGCACAAGCATGTCCATCATTTTACCAGGCCAAAAAGTAAACTTATCAATGATTGGACCTTACCTTTTTTGTATCTATTTAATTCATCCTGCCAAACCTGTAGTTTTGTTTCCAAAGGGGTTACTTGTCTCCACAAGTTGTCAGTTACTGTAACTGGGAGTTAAGGCTGTTATTTAGTAATTATACTGAAATGACTGCACAACCCCTGTTTCTGAGATGCTTAGCTCCCCTGTGATCTGATGCCATGTCAGAGAGCTCTGTCATTTCTAGAGCAGAAATCACAGGCCACCCTGCAGATTCATTCATGGGCATTTGTCCAGCTAGGAGAGCCTTATCCCTGACCAACGTGAACACTTGGATAGCCTTTGAATTCTCAGGGCTGCCAAAGTCATCTATTCAGGGGGAAAAGCCCAGTTCCCAAAGGCAAAATACACATGTAAACATTTTTAAATGATCAAAAGTCGAAGGAAGAAACACACAAACAGGAAAAAGAATGAGAGAAGAAAAAATGTTGTTTATAACATGAGATAGAGGGTTTGGTGTTCCACTCACAGACAACAATAAGCTAGGGACTCATTAAAGACACTTTGTTCCCCCAGTTATGTCGGGCAACTCATCTCCCATGTAACAGATAGTTTATTTTTCTGCTCCTCACACTTCTGGAAATCACACCTTTCCTCAAATGATGTTATAGGAATACCAGACACTAACACAAATATTTTATTTTTTTGGAAAATACACTGAAAGGTTGAAAACCAGATTATAGAAACATGAGGAAATTATTTCTTACTTCCATATTCTCCTTTCTTTCCTTGTAGTCCTAAAGCTCCTTTTATTCCTGGAGGTCCCACTTTTCCAGGGAAACTCTCCAGGCCTCTCAATCCTTCTCCTAAATTTTAATTTAAAATAAAATTGTTTAAATGTTTTCCAAGTTTTTCTTCCACTATGTTTTCTTAGTGCTTAGAGAGAGCACCAAACACAGACTCCTTCCCCCTCTCCGTGCCCACCACTAGGAAAATAAACACTGAATTACTCCTGTGGAAAGCTTCATTTACTAGGGAATGCATTACTTTGATGAAAAAGCCTTTAGTACACCTACTTATGGCACTGAAAATCCAATGAAGTAAATGCTGTCTCATGTTATTGCAGAGGTACACATGCTCTCAAACCAGAAAGCCAATATACTTCAGCTGTAATCCAATCACACATCACAGTATATGATCTGGAAAATGAGTCTTATGATTAAGGACACTTCTCTCAAGCAGTTTGTTGAAAGACAGTGCTGCAGAGGGTGTACTGAGGGGTATGTGGACCAGGAAATGTCTATATAAATATCAATACATGCCACAGAAATTTTATGCTATAGTTCATAACAAGTGGTACTGATAATGATGAGAGTTTTCTTGGAGGTTGAAAAGCAAGTGTCTAATTCCAAGATGAGTGGTATCCATACGATAATACAGAAAGAACAGGATAAGAAAATGTACAGTTCCACATGTCCCTACTAGGAGTTTGGACAGAAACTGATTTGGAAACTTGGCAGAGCATGACTTGGTCCTACCACACGACAGAAAGCACTTGCAGATCTATTTGCTGTTCACAGCAGTGCATGAAAAAAGTTGCCTCTGTTGCTGAGGCATAGAGAGTATGAAGCAATCAAGTTATGACCATCAGATTAGTAACCAACAAGCATGGTTTCTGATTTTGAGAGCTGGCCCCTGGAAAGAAAAAGCAGTAATAATTTAGTAGGGTATAATAGGAAGTGATTCAGAGTACAAATGGTACAATCAGAGTAAATTCTCATTAATCTTCTGTTTTATAGGCTGCTGTGAAAATGTATAGTATTTTTTTTATTTATTTATTAAAAGCCAAGTGTCTAGAGTAGCATTACAAATGCAGAAAGCATTTTCAGCTTCCTGAAATTGTGCAAAGTCTAAAAAAGGCTAATGGGGCAGAAAAAAAGGAGATAAGTAAAAGGACAAAACGAAAGACTGAATGAGGCATGAAACAAGACTAAAGGGATGATAAGGAGTGTCAAAAGCACAATTTCACTAAATGGTCATAGCTCTGTACCTGGTTCTCTCTTGGCACCTTTAGGACCATCTCTGCCTGGTGAGCCACTGACTGCAGGAGCACTGCACTGAATTTCTGTCCAGGAATACATTTTCTCTTCAGGCTGAACTTGTTACCATCAGCAGCAAAAGCCAAAGGCATTGAAAGGCTGAAAAAGAATCGTTGCTAAGTCCACAGATCTGCAACAAATCAAGCAAAGTAATTTCATTAATTTCTCCATTTACATCATTTTAAAGGGGTGCCTGGGAAATACACTCCTGTCTTCAGGCAAAAGACCAAACAAGGGATAGTGTCTAAACCATTTCATGTAGCCTCTGATTGTATCTGTATGTATAGAAACCTGAAAAGAAACAACCAAGCTTCTAAGAATCTGAAAATCTCAAGGTATAATGAAAATACCTAATATAGCAACAGTTATCAATCTTGCCATGCTGCAAATTAATTTCAATGTTTTGTTCATTGTATGTCTAAATTTAAAGCATTTATCTCCACACCAAATAAGTCATACAGTGTTCCATTTTGGGATGAATCCTCATCTCTCCAGCTATTGTGTTTCTGTGTGGACTCTTCTTTCACAGCTATCAGAGTTGCTGTATGTCTGAACTCAAAGTGATTAAGCTGCTTCTCTTGATAGCATCTCAACTACTAGCAAACACCCACAGCTTAAAGGACAAAAAGCTTACATATGTTTAAGTGGCAATGATCTCATTGCCTCCCCTATTTCTCCTTTCAGACCTTGTACATTAATAAGATACTTTCTCCTCAGTATCACACCTCAGAGTTGAAATCCTTTTGGATCCCAGATCTGCAATACTTTGCTGCCCTCTCTGAGCAGAACAGTAAGACTGTAACCATAAGGGAAGGTTTGCATGACCTTCTGACAAGCTGAGTCACAGTTGTCATCCTTGTTTCCAAAATGAGGGTTTAACTTGAGACAATCACACCCCAAGTATTCCATGTTTATCTGAAAAAAACCCCCAAAATGAAACTACCACAAATATGAGCTGATGAACTTTCATAGTAAATAGCCACATACTAAAGTCAAGTGGCCTCATTTTCTCACAGTTCTACCAGTCAAAACGAAAAAGAAACTTAGGGAAGCACCATTTGGTTGACAGATTTGGATAAGGAGAGAAAAATCAAATCCAGCATGAATTCTGCTACTCACCTCAATTATTTCTCTTCATTTTAAGCTTCAGAAAAGACTTCCCACAGAAAGCAGCTTCCCCTGTCATGTTTCATCTGATAAAGTACAATATAAAGTATAATCATTAGTGTATTACTGTGAGAACATCATTATTAGGATAAAAGGCAGAGTTTAAGAAGCACCATATTTCTATACACTTATTTGTGCTTCCTCTATTAACTTCCCATCAAAGTCTGGGGAAGTGGTACACACCAAAATAAAACAATGAAAGGTATTTAGCTAACTAATATAACAAAACTTGGACCTTGGTTATATTTCTTATTCATCTTCATGGACTCTAGCCGGTTCTTAACAGCTCTGTAAGGATTTCCTTCTGCTGACTTTCTATACTATGTAACTATCGAATATCAGGGAAGTTGACACTGCTGATGTCTCCCACGAAGGTAACAAGACAAAGCTCAAAATAATGGCACAACAAAAGAAAACTTGAAAACAAAACGTAAGCCCCCAGATAAATCCACTCTGAGGATTGTGTGAGGTTCAGCCTCACACAAATCTCTGTTGGTTTTGCCTGCCAGGAGCTAAGATCTATTTACCTCCAAAGTTTTCCAGGGTGACCACCCAATTCTTTTCTCTAGGAGAGCCAAAGTGCCTGTTTACCCTTTGACAAACTGGTGGCAGGGTTTCCTAGCAATTCAATCAGTGACTAATGACAATTGGCACCAACAATGGCTTAGATAAAAAAGCAAAACATTCCAAATTTCTCACAAAATTTGAATAAATCTTAAGGAACTGAAATACAAAAACCAAGTTTTGCAATCCATATTTATATTTATAGAAGGGTAGATGATCCTACATGGAGAATCACACTGTGTGGATGTAATGAGAGTCTCCAGGTCCCAAGACACACATAGTTGCAGATTTCTCAGCAGAGATCAGAATTAGGCTTTGAAAGATGACCTGAAACTTATATTTAGCAGGTAGCTAGTTCTGCAGGTCCTATTTAAAGATATAGGTCTCAGGTAATTCTTTTATTCCTCCATGAAAAGTGCCCTAGGACATTATCCACCCAATGGAGGTAACAGCAGAGAAGAGAACCTGGAAGAGGCAGCATGAAGTTCTTGTTCCAGATCTAGTCTTGGAGGTGACAGCTCTTGGTGATTAGCCCAAAAGCTGAGAGCCTGGCAGCAGAGGACAGCCCTATTGGAGGTAAGTACTAGGGAAACTGCTCCTCAAAAGTGGTCTTACATTTATACACAGGCTACTCAGAGACAGAATGATGTTAAATTGTTAGTTACATCCTCCGAACAGCCTCCTTCTCAGCCTGCTGTGCCCAGGTGGGGCAGCCTACAAAAGTCCCTTCCAACCATCGTGTCTGCACCTGAAAGGCATACACGGCCTCACTACAGTCTAATTCTTGTTACAGCCAAACAGATCTTTGCTTACCAACACCTTTACTTAACCATTACACAGGGAAACTCTCACTGCACCACTGCCTTGCCTGGCAACCAACAACAGAAGGCAGTAGGGAAGAAGTTAAACAGAAACTTGCTGAATTTTTACCACGAGGACAACCCTGCCAAAAGAAAAAGATAAATCACCAACATTTCTACCAAAGCTGTTACTTTGTGTTTTGTTTTAGGAAGAGGTTGCTGACTGGCTAACCTCAGTCTTGCATAATCCTGATGATTGCCTACCTCAGTTTTACCACCCTTATCTAGAGGGGCTGCATATGACATTCTGGGAGTGAGCCCTTTGCTCTTTGCCTGGCCTTGGGCAGACATTGGCTGTGTTACAGTACAAACCAACAACTAAAAAATCAGCACAACTGCAGGCACTGAAAGTTTTGACTGTAAGGTTTTTTCCCCTTTATTCAGTCAATGGATAAATTTTTTAATAACCTAGGAGAGGGAAGGACATTTGAGGCTTAACTTCAGTGGCTGCCTTTCCTGCAACAGTCCAGCTGGCTACAATATTATTGTTTGGACATGGAAACTACAGTAGCAAGAACACAGTGTGCCAGGCAGCTCTGAAAAATTAATAACATAAAAATTAATGCTGAAGAAGAGATGTTTTAGCAATTTTGCTTGCAAAAATCTTCCTCACCCAGAAGAAGGTCTGTTAGACATCTCCACTTGCAAAAATTAAAACTCTCCCTCCATGCAGCAGTGTCAAGATCCCATTTCTGGGGCTATTGTTCTCTGTTGTGGTGGCATCAGAGAGAAATGTAGGCTGTCAGGCTGCCTTGTATCTTTCTTGTTCAAAAGCTAGGATAAATTCAGGGTCTGTAAAAATAAAATGAACACATCAGTTCAGAGCAGTGCTACTTGTCAGGTATGATTTGATAAAAACATTGTAGAACCAACATCATTAAAAAAGAAATTTGGAATTAGAGATTTTTTTAAAGTTATTGTTATTTTAAAGTAAGAAGCTGAAATTTCCACACTGACTTTTGCTATTTTGGCCGAGAAGCAAATGTGGGATCTATACACTGTCAAAAAATGGTATCCAGGGCTCAACTTGTAACCTTGTAACCCACAAAAATGTCTGGTTTCTTGTATGACTGTTCAACTTCCCTGAAGGTTTCTTGCCTGCAAAAGCAGAAGTATGAAGCAGATAGGGTTGTCAGCAATTTCTCCACCCCTAGGGTCTCACCAGGTCAGGACACCATCTTGCTAAAACATAATTTATCACACAGTAGAAATTTTACTAAACTCTGGCAAAGCCAGCCTGTTTACATGAAGTTCCAAACCTATAGAACTATTGTAAGTGTCTGTATTATGTGGCAAATAAAAATCATAAGGGCAGGTGTCTTAATATTCAGAAACGATTTTTTTTTCCCACTGGATTTGTAATTTCTTTTTCTATCTGTTTATGTTTATACAGCCTTCTCTTCCTCCAGAATTATTTGGTTCTCCTGATTCCAAGTTTGCACACAGAGTTCCTCACTATTTAGATCCTTCAGTGTACCTCCTTTCTGCATTTGGGGGAGTGGTCTTACATCTGCATGGTCTTTGATAGATGGTGCAGCTCTCTGCACATTTCCTTGGAGAAGCAAGCAGCTCAGCACAGGAGAACACTTGGCTTTTGAAGTTTCAAACTTGCCTTTGGAGCCATCAGTTTTGAGTATTCTTCACCAACAGCAATATCATATGGGAACAACAGAAGTGGGAACTATATCCAATTATTTTCATCACAACATAGCAGGATGACAGCTTCTAGACACTTGCAAGGGAATCTATGGCTAAAGCAGTGGATAGAAATGCACAGCTAGCTCATTGATTCACTTTGATGTCAGACCATCAGAGGGCTTTTATCCCGAAACCAGGAGTTTACAAAGTGTTTCAAACTTTTCATTGAGACAATTAGAGTCAGGATTAAAGACTTTTGAAGAGCAAAACTCTAGGAGTAACCTTGTTTCAGAAAAACCTGGGAGCAGGCATTATGGAGCACCATTCTTAATAGGTGCTCATACAGTGAGTGTAATTAGAGCTCTTACAAAAAAATAAAGTGGAAGCTGTTCTGTGCAGAATCTTTTTCTTCTGAATCAGTAGTGATTTATCCCTTGCCTGTGTATCTTACCATGCATCTGCACAATAAGAAGGATGAAGTAGAGCTGAAGCTCTTTACCTGTTTCTTTCCACTTGTCAGTCTGCCAAAGAGACTGTGCAGATGAACAGTTGCTTTCTGTTTTGTTTTCTACCCTGAAATAGTCAATCCTCATTAGTGATAAAATCTTTAGGTGTCCCGTGTCCACTTTGTATACTAAAATCAAGGTAAAAGTATCAGCTGCTTGTGAGAGAACAGGGAATTTATATAGTGGGACATGCTAGGAACAATGCCACAGTAATAGCAGTTTGCAAGGCTGAGGATAATCTTTAAAGAAACTGCAAGAGAGAGAGACAGTTCTGAGGCAGACCACACCAAAAACCCCCAAAACGTGCTTAATTCAGAGGAAGTTCTGTTTGAGATTCAAAGTTCACAATTCATACAGGATCCCTCACTCAGGTACTGACTATTAAGAACCCATGTACTGAGTTTCTCCTCCTCTTTGGAAAATTTGCTGACTGAGTTTCCCGTCAGCTGAGGTAAAAGAGATCTAAGCTTTAAAAGCATGAGGTTCTGAAAGAAGATAACATCAGAATGCTATTCTTACCATCCCTAGTCAGCTCTTCTGCTTTACTTACTTGGAAAAGTTTGACTATAAAGTCAAAAAAGTTCTCTCTTCACCTTCATAGAGACTTAAGGGATCCTACCTTATCCATTTGTAATGTATTTGTGTA